CCTGGTAAAATTGCAGCGTCCGTATGTACAAGGCTAACTGAGACTTATGCTATGCTAATGCTGTAGCTGCAGCCAAATATGCACCTAATAAAATAATACTGACTTGAAGTGAATGAATTCTTATTCTATTCTATTAATTGACCATATTTTGCAGATATTTGTTTTCACTTTGACATGAAAGAGTCTTTTTAAGTAAATTCTTGTCATTAAAAAAAAAGAAGCTATGATTCAGTGTTCAAACGCGAGAACTTCCACGGGGTTGAATACTTCTTAAAGACCATGTACATCCATGCATATGCACGTATTGTGTTGCTCAGATACATTTCTATGAGAAAAATCAATAACATGTAAGCCTATTATCTTAACATATTTCGTCAACAACTGATTACCTCTGGGCTGTACAGTACAGCAGCTCTCTAATGGTATACATGACACCAGGAAGGAACTTGTCGTAAACAGGGGTGGCATTGCATGCATTGACATGCCCACACACACCGATTATTCAAAAATATGCAGTCCCTCATGTCACGCATGTAATCTCATTCATGCCTTCACACTCACAGTCTCACCCACCCACACAAACACACAGAATACACTGTGGAGCTCCACTTTTTCCTTCTGTCCACTGGTCTGCAAGTCTTCCAGCGTGACATGCACATCTGGATCATCGTGCAAAAGCTGTCAGCTGCCTGGCTGCTTGTTTATCTTCATCGACCCGACGCTGTCAGCAGAAACCAGAGACTCTCGCAGCTACATTTGTACTACAGACAAATCTTTCATCTCAACCTCACACTCACCTCTCCTCCTCTCACCGCCGCCTCATCCGAGCAGGATTCACACCTCCCACATGCTTTATCTCGTCTCATCCTTCCCGTCGTCCCTTCTTCCTTCCTTCCCTCTCATCTTCACCTCCTTCCTTCCCTCTCTTCTCTCCGGCAGAGCAGTCGGTGCAGACCTGTCCGACCAGCACAGCCAGCCTCCCCCCCCTTCCCTCCCCGGCAGCACAGCTCGCCGCTCAGCCAATTAGCACGCTCACATCACCTAACCCCGCCCCCTTCTGCCTTCCCTCTGCCTTCCACATACATGCTGAGTCAGTGTGGAGCGAAGAGCCCGGGCCATGGGAGGTGCTGGAAGGAGGGGAACGTGCAAGACGACAAGCCGAGAGGGGCGTGAAGCGTTGCAGAGGCAGCTTCTCCGCTCCATGTGGGCTTCGGTTTGAAAATGAAAGCGGCAGATGTGACGGGAGGAAAACGGGGGCATGTGTTCGGTATCAGGCATGTGTGAAGCCCTCCTCCAGAACAACTCAGTGGTACATTAAAAGAGGGGGAATTGAAATCCAGCTGGGCTTTACACTTTACAAAAGACGAGGATAACACTATTTCACACGATATGAACGTGTAACTGAGGAGGGTCCCACATCATGATGCTGCCACCACCATGCTTCACATCATTACATAAATTCAGCTGGTGTAGGACTACGTGATATAACATTAAATAAACGGAGATGTGGTCTTGTTTCTTAGTATAATCTTCACATATGACAACATACATGGACAGAACACTAAACTGTTCAAATCACTAAAAGAAGACGTTTTGTTTTGGGGCGAGTAAATTAATAGAACTTCAAGCTGCACAAACACTGAAAATGTTTATCTATTGCTTGATTAAATGTCATTTTCTGTTTGGTCTCCAAGTGCAGACCAAGTAGATAAATAAAGCTTTAAATTGTGAGTGCACTGCAAAGCACAGACAATACACAGAAATTAGACGGTGGTTGTTTGCAAACACTTCAATGTTTTCATGTCTATCTTCATGAGCTTTTTAGTGCCACCATGTTTAAGCTGAGAAGTGTTTTTTTCTATATCAACGGCTTCAACTGGCCAATCTGGACTCAAAATAAACTTATAGACAATTAAAGGATCAGCTACAAAAGGCATTAAAAGTACTAATATGCAAAGTAGTTCAGAGTGAATCAGTTTGATTGATGCATCAACGTGTAAGAAACGTTCTAATGTAGCTTCGGAAGGTGGAGCAAGTTTTAAAAGAGCCCATAATGTGCAGATTTATAGGTTATTATGAAAGAATAAATGACTGTTTGTTAAATACTGATTTTTAATGTGGCCTGCTTGTTTCACATGTAAATTAATCATTTTTCTTGTGAATTTACTAGAAATAACCTAGAAATTAATAAAACCGGTTAAATCTGTGAAATTCCAGTTAAAAAATTATTTACCAAATTTCAGTCTTTAATATACACAATTTTTCTCTCAGGTAAAAAAAATAATATATATATATGCAATATGTAATTTTAAGGTCACATACTTACTATTTGTAAAAATACAGATTTTTTTGATGTGGACATTATGTACAGCCTGTTTTTGTGCAAAACTAGTAAAAAAAAAAAAAAAAACCTGTTTTTTAAAATGTTTTGGAATTTTACTAGTTATTTAATTAAATATATAATACATTACACACACACACACACACATATTTATGCAATGTGTAATTTTAAGGTCACATACTTACTATTTGTAAAAATACAGATTTTTTTAATGTGGACATTATGTACAGCCCGTTTTTGTGCAAAACTTGTAAAAAGAAAATTAAAAATGTTTTGGAATTTTACTAGTTATTTAATTTAATTTAACAAAACAGGTAAAATCTATAAAATTCCAGCTTTATTCTTTTTTTTTAAAAAACATTTTTCAGTCTTTAATATATATTTTTTCTTTCAAATAACAAAGTATCTGTAAAATAATTACTTCATTTTTATTTTATGTATTTTATACTGATAAAATGTGTAATTTTAAGGTCACACACGATAAAAGAAATAATTTACTGTTTGTAAAAATACAGATTTTTTTATCTGGACATGATGTACAGTTCTGGCCTGTTTTTGAAAGAAACTAGTACATTTTTTTATTTATTTTTATTTTTACATTTCTGTAATTTTACTAGTTATTTTTATAGCTTAACAAAGCAGGGGAATCTGTGTAAACAACGGTAAATTCTTCTTCAAAAAAAAATCCCAGCTGAAAACTGTTATTGATCTGCACAGTAACCAGACAGTAGCTGCTAAATAAAAGTTCCTCTGAGATGGAGTCAAGCAGAAAAACAGTGTGAGTACCTCAAAACTATACAGTATGTGAGTTATTCTACTTCTTGAGCTCTCAGACCTTCAGGGAAATCTGGACACGGTTCACTCAGTTTGACTTTTCTGCACAAAACCACAAGAAACAACAGCGACCGATCACTAGATCTCATCACTACATGACACGACACGTCCAGCAATCGCTTGTGTGTGACACTCAGCCGTCTACGTACTTTTGGCCGCGTTGTGTAACGTCTATATTTGGAGCGTGGCAGGATCACAGGGTTTGTTTTGCTCTGCGTTATTCTGTGGCAGTTTTTAAATAATTCAGCGGCGCATATATGGAACAGTGACGTACCGATGCTGTGGGATGGCGACGCTGCACGGCGGACATCTCATTTTAAAAGTTGCATTAAGGGAAAATGTGTGAGATCCAGCTGCTGCTTACATATATGCTCTAGTAGGGTCAGAACACAATAAAGACAAAGAGGAAGCAGATAAAAGCTCGCTCTGCTGAAATATTTAAAAGATGCATGAACAGCGCTTTCATTCACTTGGTCTCCCCATATAAACATCTTTCACTCAAACATCTAAACACTGATTTATTCAATTTATGGTGTCTGAGGATATTCTCGTCACCACCTCGACACCTACAGGAAGAACATATTCACATCTACAGGACAAATTTTGCATAAATGCTGCGCAAAATTCTTTCAAAAAACCGAATTTGTTGATGCTGTACAGTAAAAACAGCCGCGTTAACGTGATTTCCTCTTTTCCAGCCACTTCACTCGTTAGAAGGCTTTCCGTGCTGCTCTGATTTGTTTCTACACCTTGTCAGGGGGTTTCATTCATGCACGGCACTTATGCAGTTTGCAGCGATGGCAGTGGCAGATTTACCACTCAGAACTAATTTGGGAACCAGTGGGTGCTTGATTTCAGACAGAGTGGATAAAAACAGGCCTCTCGTCTTGAGACGTCGGTTGATTGGTTGCTTTAAACTTTCATGCCAACTACATACAGTACATACCACAGCTGCTCTTACAAAGCACACACACTTGCATGCAGTATAAAAACTGGGACATAGTACTCCATCATAATTTTGCACTGTAAGCTTTGGCTAGCTTGCTCACATATCCGTCATAGTCTGCGGTGCAAAGTGAGCTGCCATCTTTCTTCGGGGTCTCAGCAGCTTTTCTTTTTTGTTTTTTTTTTACTTGCACAAGACATCGGGGTGTATGTTTTGCCAATAAAACTGATGTAGTAGGCCGTTTTCTTGGATGCTACATACTACTAGTATGGTAATCTCAGTGCTGGAACAGGCTGTATTCATAGTACTACTATGAAGAACACTTTTCCACAGCAGCTGATTGAACTTTGGCTGCTGTACAAACATAAAGTGAGTTTTCTTTGCTGAAACCAGTGATCTTTACATTTCTACTTTTAACGCTCTCCAACTGAGCTACTTCGGCTCTGGAGAGATTCTCTACCACAGCGGTCCCCAACCACTGGGCCGTGGACCAGTACCGGGCCACACAGAAAGAATAAAAACACTTTATTATTTTTTCTTTCTTTCTTTCTTTCTTTCTTTCTTTCTTTCTTTCTTTCTTTCTTTCTTTCTTTATGATTATGATGATGATGATGATGATGATGATAATTATTATTATAAGTTCCGGCAGAGTCTGCAGGGTGTTTTATTTTGAAAAATTACTTGCTCCTCTTCCTGCCACTTCCTTCTGTGCTTGTTTCCCGACTTGAGACAGAAAAAAAAGTAAAAACATTTTATTCAAAGGAATTTTGGGGACCGGTGCTCGACCACATCGGTGTCAAACTCTGGTCCGTGGGCCAAATCTGGTCCACAGTGTAATTATATGCCTGCTTTTATGTAGCGCATGCACTGCTAAAACTACACATCCCAGAATGCTCTGCAAGCGCATTAATAAAGACCTGCAAGCATCCCCTGCCCTTCTGTTGACATTCATGAGCAACCTCATGCTACCAGTCACCCCTCACAAAAAAGGGCCAAACGAAGGAGCTTGTTCTCATGTTTTCATTATATTAAGCTTTGCTTGTTCCAGATTCAATGTTTAAGCAAAACTTCATGTAACAGCCATTTACTCATGTGTTTGTTTATTAATTTCTTTTCATTGCTACACATGCTTGTACCGCGGGCAGCACTGGCAGCTTCCGGTGGACGTGTGTTTTACTGCCAGGCCAGGTGTACATGAATGACGCAAAAAGCTTTTTGACCGCAATGTAGAGACGCGATGTAGAGATGTAGAGGTAACTGCAAATGGGAGTAGTGGGTATTAATAGTCTACCTAATTGTCATATTTTGCTTATTTGTTGGAAACAATAAAGAATCAAACCAACTGGAAATATCTGGACATGTGTGAGACAAGCCTGGCGTGCACATCATGCACCGACAGGAAGTAACAGTGGAAAGCCACTGACACACAAGTTTGTCTCCACATGTTGAAGTTTATCATTGCATATGTGGAGAGAAAGGACAACATGCACAAACGAAACAAACGCAAAGGTGCCTGAACACTGCAGTTCCTTAAATGGCCACTTGGTGCCTCCAAAAGTGAGTTCATCCCTGTGAGTCCTCACGTTAAAACCCCAAACTTTACAGCGAAACTAAACATGTTTACAACCTGGTTTGAAGCCAGTTTCTGGCTGCATTTCCAGTTAAATTGATTTCTTTAGGTTTCTGCAAATGTATGTGATTCCTGGTCAGAGCCGACACACAGCAGGAGATTGTAGCAGTGACCAGTAACTGGTAGCTATGCTGTAAGAAATTCA